GGTAATCCAACGGCGACAAGGCGAGGTAATCCAAACTTTGTGGGATAAAATTCTAATTTCGTACCCTTGAATTTTCAGCGAAAAGTCTTCAACGCAGACATCAACTATGATGGTAAAAACGAATTTTAAAAGTCATAATGAAAGCACTTCTCCTGCATAGTTTCCTATATAATTTTTAAGCTATCCGATGGATATTCGAGGCCCGTATGTTCCTGTTTTGTCTTCATATTTCTCTGCCATATCATGTTGATTCACAGCTTAGTATAAAAGTGGGCCAGCAACGAATAGTGCCGATAAAATGCTTGGAACGACGTGGTGACAATCAATATGCAGCGCTGAACTCCAGACAGCAAAAGCTTTGCTGTCTGGAGTCTGGAGCCCTGTAGAGAGAGCCAGCCAAAGTCGGGATCACCGGAGGGCTAACTGCCATACGGTGCAGCACAGATTAAAACATGAAATGGTAGATAACTGAAATAGTAAGTAACAATTTACTACACAACAGGAGGAAGACTATAAAGGAGCATCTAATTAAAAAAGCAAATAACATTTTACTGTGAAATTCAGCTCCATTTTTCCAAAAAAAGTGAAAAAAATCCAGAAGTTAAGCATTACAACTCACAAAAGTTTAGCACTGTGTCCACTGCAGCACCAAATTCTAATGTAATGCTTATCTGACTTGTAAGCTTTGATTCATTTCATCTAAAAACCCAGCCATTTTCTCACAAAAATTGATATCAAAAAAAAACTTTGACCTAATTAGGCCCTCTGAAAACCGCAATGAAACAGAAATTTGATTTTTGAAAAATAAAAACAGGTTAAAAATAAAATTCTCTGCTAATCCTGCACATACCAAAAATCCATAAAAATCAACGTCTAATACAGATTTTTGATTTGCATAACAACTTCGACTGTGTTATACAACAAGTCGATAAGTGATGTATCGACCAGCCGTTTCAGATGGTCGAATAATCTTGACCACATGTCCACGTCGTAAACCAAAATACCTTGCTACTGGATCACTCTGCTGAATGCGTGGCAACTGCGTATCTTTCAATTTACTGAAAAAAAAAAGAGTATGGGGCTTCCAACCGTCGCAAAAGCACGGTGGGCCAATAACGCCAAACAAACTGCATATCTGATTATCGCATGATTATAGCATGAGAGTAATATGAAGAACGTAGAAAAGAAGGCAAGAACAGAACGAATTATGTAGTGCAAGAGGTAGGAATATTGCTGGCGCAGGAGAAATAAGAGCGAGAGAGTTAAAACGTTTCGGTCCATGAAGTATATGTTAAGAAATAGATTTCACGCGCCCGTTCTCTTCCGGTCTCCTTGCCAATAAAATCCACTATTTGTATCTTTAAAATTTCTACAATTAGGCGTGACAGGGCTGCTGGAATAAGCATTTTTTCAGCAAGTACATATTTTTTTTAGACACACATACTTTTAGTTGAAACTGTTTTTGCATAAAATCTCAGAAGTAGACTGTTTTTCCTACGATTTGGGGAGGGGACGGTGCTCGATAAAAACCATGAATATCTTAAAAAGGCTAAAGTCTTGACAGATGCTCCTGCCGAAAGAACCACGCAGCGAATGTCAAGACCACCAACAGGCTGACCACCAAACGATGCAATACATATACTGAAGACGAAGTGATGGCACTCACTACACTCCGCTGAATCCCCAAATGTCTAAAGCTTTGTCAAATTATTACCCGTCTCATATGTTAGTCTCCTCCTCTTCTACCTGCTCCATCACTTTTATTAGTTTCATGCTATTACACTTTCTGTTCTTTTTCATCTTCCCTTCATGCAAATTAGTTACATGTCTTTTCAATACATGGCGGGTAGAAGGCTGTACTGACGATTCCCACTCCTACCCGCATGCATTGTTCGGTCTGTGAATACAGCTAAGGGATGAAACGCAGACTGCCTCATGAAATGTCTTCTTATACATGACGCCTAATTCCAATCTTTTTACTCCACTATTCTACTGGGAAAGTCACTGAGCCGAAGAACTCGTCAGGAAACCAAAAGAACGTTAGGATTGCCAGCAGGCTGACCATCAGACATACTGATCA